TATTCTGTGTGCAGCTTTCACATGCATGTCAGGCAATTGAACATACCAAGTCTCCAAAGTGAATCTTAGCTTTTTAACAATGTAAAGGTTGCAGATGATTTGCCCAGTGCAATACATCTCTAATCTTCCGGAGGGGAGGGGTGGGGAATGCATATAGCAGCAGAATATGGGTGAGATTATAGTTCATCTTATTTTGCATCTTGCCTTTATCTCTTAAGCTAGTTTGATGACCATTTCACATGAACATATACAACTCTAGCATATTAAAAACATTGTTACATGGTATCCGTGTGATTGTACTCTCAGTGATTTGACAATTGCCCCATTGATATCTGGGCAAGTAGTCAAAGAAGCTGGATTCTATGAAGAAGAAAGGTGGCATCAGGATTGGAGGAAGGCTTATAAACACCTTGTGATATTCAGATGGCACGACCTTGCTTGCTGAAAGTTAGGCGCACTTGCTGATGAAGATCAAGGGCCGCAGCTTTCAGAGTGGATTGCAACTCAATGTAAAGAAAACAAAAATCTCTACCACTGGACAAATAGGTAACATCATAATAAATGGAGAAAAAATTGAAGTTGTCAAGGATTTCATCTTGCTTGAAAACACAATCAATGCTCATGGAAGTAGCAGTCGAGATCAAACGATGCATTGCATTGGGTGAATCTGCTCCACAAGACCTCTTTAAAGAGTTCAAAATGTTACTTTGAAGACGAAGGTGTGCCTGACTCAAGCCATGTTATTTTCAATTTCCTCATATGTATGTGAAAGTTGGACATTGAATAAGGAGGACAGAAGAAAAGTTGGTGCATTTGAGCTATAGGCTTAGTGAAGAATATTGAAAGTACCATAGATTGCCAAGCAGATCTCACTTGGAAGCAGTACAGCCAGCATGCTCCTCAGAGGCAAGGATGGCGAGACGTGGGCTCACGTACTTGGGATGTGTTGTCAGTCAAAGGACATCGTGTGCTTGGTAAAGCAGGCTCTATCTCCAAGGAGACTCCTTTCAATTGCTTGGCTGCTCAAAGCAGATCTCATCATGGAGGTGATTACGTTGTATTAGATCTCATAACTGCCAATGTCCATTCAGATTGTTAAGGTTGACCTTGTATAAGAACCTTGTTCAGTGGATATTTCTGAACTCATATTTTCCATGTGTTCTTGTGAATATATCCCAAACAGTACATTTTTAGCAGTGTTATTTTGAGCAAAAAGTGGTACCTTTTAACTGTGCTGAGTATTGCCAAATTCTCTTCCAAAACGGTGTTTCCGCTCCCACTGCTGTCTAGTCCATTTTGATTGGTAGCAGCCCTGTAGGACAGGGCAGAACTGCCTCGATGGGTTTCCGAGACTGACTCTCTTTAAAAAGACAAAACAAGTCTTATTGGCATATCATTCACATATCATGCAATTCACATGAGTTCAATGGCATGAGACTCTTTTTTTTTCTTTTTTAAGAGACTGTAACTCGTTATGGAAATAGAAAGCTCTGTCTTTCTCCTACAGAGGAACTGGTGGTTTCAAACTGCTGATCTTCGGGTTAGCAGCCTAATGCATAACCACTATTCCACCAGGGCTCCTTCAGACACTGGGCATTAATACATTAAAAAATGCTTATCAACCTGCTAGGTTTCCTGTCACTCTGAGAGGAATAAATAAAAAATTAAATTAAAAATTGCTATATTTAAATGTAGAATTTTTCACCTTTTTCCCTTAATATTTTTTATTGTCAACGGCACCAGCAAGAACTGTTCAGAAGACTAGGCTTGAACAGTTGGAAGATGGCTGAATAATTGAAATCTCAGCCTCATGAAGACTTTTGGGATTGATTGATTAGAGATAGGTGAATTTTTCAGATATTTGACAAGTCTTCCTTTTAGAACTAAATTGTTCAATTTAACTGCTCTAGAAGCAAAGCTTCTCAAAATCATGGCAAAATTGATTTGAGTTTGAAATGGATATAAAAATATGAGTCTTCTTGACTCTTCGCCACATCTTTAGGAACATCAGCCCTGGCCCTGGGCTATACAAATAACCTAGTGATGCCCTTGAGCATTGTGAGCTTCCCGTGCCCTGTAGTTAAATGGGTGTCGGTGCGTGGGGGCACCTAGGTCTACTTGTAATCATTTGGACTCTTTGCTAGCCGTTGGTTCTCACTTTGGTCCATTTACTTGCTTATAGAAGTTCATCTCTGCTTCCAATCTTGCTTGGTTCTCTAGATTTTAACTTGTTACTCTAGTAGATAAAAACCTGTCTAAAGGGGGTATAAATGATCACTTAACGAGGCAGTGGCAGCTCTTTATGAGTCAAGTCTTCTTAGTCAGTGGAAAGGCCTTGGGTAATCTATTAGGCTAGGGAAAGGGGCCTCTTTTTGTCCCCTGAGGGTTTTCCCCCTGATTTCTGATGGGGCGAGGTATTATGTAACCCTCTCTGTGGAAAGGAGAAGTGGTTGAAGAGTCATTAGTAGTGGTTGGCAGCTCAAACTAGATGGATGATTTGTGGTTCCAGCGGCGGGTGCTGATATACTTGGTTATGGACACTTCTCTGGGTTTCGTGGGTCAGCAAGTTAAAGAGGTGATGATGTGGTTTGTGTGATGGGAAAGACAGAGAAGAAGATCAATCACTAGGAGGATTTAAAACGTGTTCTATGTAGCAACGTAGAACCCCGGTGGCACAGTGGTTACATCACTGGCTGCTAAGTGAAAAGTCAGTCGTTCAAACCCACCAGCGGCTCCACAGCTCCACTGGAGAAACGTGGCGGCCTGCTTCTGTCAAGACCGCAGCCTTGGAAACCCTCTGCCCTGTAGTGTGGTTATGAACAACAATCGACTGGATGGCAACAGGTTGATATTTGGCAATGAAGAAAGAAGCATTCCATGTTTCCTTTTTCTTTCTTTCTTTTTTTTTCCCCAGCAAGTCCATTTTTCCAAAATACTCAACTCGGCCCTATGGAAGCTGTCAGATTGACTACGCTGAGGTTTATGTTGTCCAAAGGACTTGAGGTCCGCTAATAGAGAAGGGCCAGTATATAAATGATTCAGAGGTGTGAACCACACATAGTGGACTCAGTCCATTAGTGCTAGTAGACCCAATTCAGGCCAGCTAAAATGAAAAGGGACTTACCGTAATTAGTGTCTGGCACAGCTTGAGTTGGGGCTCAGGTGACATCTCTGGGCTCCCCCAAGTTGGTCCTGTCTCTTCTTTGTTAGGCTGGGTCCCCTGGTGCTGTGCCAACAGCATCCCTCCTCACCCCCCACATAACCACAGAGCAGAATGTACTCTTTCAGGGTACATAATGTTATGGTTGGGGGGTCACCACCACAGGAGGAACTGTATGAAACCCCAGAAAATGTTTTATTGCTTCTCATTGGCTCTGAGCAGTACACACAGCCCTCTCTGAGCTAATCACTATGGTCAGATGTATACAATGTACATCACATCGTATACATCTGGAGCCTGGGGGTGGAGCCAGCTTTATATAAAGCCTATTGGGTGGGAGTAGAGGACACATGGCTCCATCAAAGTCAAAAAGGGCACTAGAATGATAAGATTGGATGCTGGATAGTACAAGAATCCACCCAAAGTGCTGACAGCAGACTGTTATTTGCCAGCCTTGCAGGTTCCAATCTAGGAATTCCTGGTGGTACAGATAGTAAAGGGCTCAGCTACTAGTTCCAGGGTTAGTGGTGTAAGCCCACCTAGAGGCATGCTGGAAGTCAGGGACACCCTCTCTCCTTCCCAAAGTCGCAGGCCTGAAAACCCTACGGGACAGTTGTACTGCACACGCATGGGCACACCATGAGTCAGAATCGACCTGACGGCAACCACCAGCGTTCCGTCTTGGGACACTGAAGATTGAGCTGTCATCCTTAGATCTGGGCATTATCCATCTATTGAGTATTGAAGAAAATAGAAGGTGCCATGGTGGTGTCGTGGTTAAGTGGTGGGCTGCTATACAAAGGTCGAGTGTTCAAGCCTATTAGCCCCCTATGAGTCAGAATCGACTCAGTGGCAGTGGGTTTGGTTTTTGGCATGAAGGAAGTAGAATTTAGATAGGATGGAGGCTCTGGACTCTGGTAAGACCTGGCCCAGTTACCAGCTGGATCCTCACCTACCCTTTCTGAGCCTCAATTTTTAAATGAGAACTGTGGGCACAATGTGAGTACTTCTGCTTAGGGCCTTGATGACTCTTGATGGAAATAATCCATGTGAAACCATATCCTGTGCTCACACACCAAGCACCAAGCCAACTGCAAGTTCATTTCAGCCCGTAGTGACCCCCTAGAGCAGTGGTTCTCAACTTTTCTCATGCTGCGACCTTTCATACAGTTCCTCCTGTGGTGGTGACCCCCCAACCATAACATTATTTTCATTGCTATTTCATCACTGTCATTTTACTACTGTTATGAATCGGGCGACTCCCGTGAAAGGGTCGTTCGACGCCCAAAGGAGTCTGGACCCACAGGTTGAGAACCACTGCTGTGTAGGTTCTGAGATATAAATCTTTGTGGGAGCAGAGAGCCACATCTTTCTCCCAATGAGGAACTGGCGGGTTTCAACCAGCAACCTTGTGGTTAGTTGCCTTACCCACAGTACCGCAGGGCTCCTGCGCTCACACACAACCACAAAAACCACAAGTCAGTTTTAGCTCATAGTGACCCCATAGGATAGAGTAGAACTGCCCCGAAGGGCTGCCCAGGCTGCCCAGCCTTGCCGAAGCAGACTGCCTCATCGTTCTCTGGGGGAGCTGCCCCATTAGGTTGGCAGCCAAGCGCTTTAACCACGGCACCACCAGGACTCCCATTTCTGTTGCTTGTCATGACTTCCTCTAGTTGAATAACTTCTGATTTTTGTTCAGACACAAAAGCATTCCATATCATAAAACACGATAGAACCAAGTTTTGAGGGGAAAAAGAAATTTAATTAAAGAAAAAAATAACCTATTCATAATCCGGGGATGGGTGCATTAACTTAATTCTTGACATGTTGGCAGCGATCGGGGGTCCGGAGCAGCCGCAGCCGGTGGAGACATGGAGATGCAATCCTACCCGGCCAAGCTCTTGGGGGAGCTGAATGAACAGCGCAAGAGGGACTTTTTCTGTGACTGCAGCATTGTGGTGGAGGGGCGGGTCTTCAAGGCCCACAAGAACGTTTTATTTGCCAACAGCGGCTACTTCCGAGCCCTGCTGATCCACTACATCCAAGACAGCGGGCGGCCCAGCACCGCCTCCTTGGACATTGTCACCTCCGACGCCTTCTCCACCATCCTAGACTTCCTTTACTCCGGAAAGTTGGATTTGTGTGGCGAGAACGTGATTGAAGTTATGTCTGCTGCCAGCTACCTGCAGATGAACGATGTCGTGAACACCTGCAAGACATACATCAGGTCATCCCTGGACATCTGCCGCAAGATGGAGAAGGAGGCCGCTGTGGCTGCCGCAGTGGCTGCAGCGGCAGCCGCCGCGCACCAGGCCCACAGCGGGAGCCCCAGTTCAGACGGGGAAGTGACCTCCTGTGCCACCAAGAGCGTGGTCTCCTCTTCTGCCGGGGGAGACCGGAGTGTGGACTGTGGAGGCTGCCACTCTTTAGGACGAGTGGTGAAAGACAACCAGGGCGGTGGCCCCACTGACAGTGACCTCCTGACTCGACCTAAACGGACGGAGCCCAAGGTGGAATTTGATGCCGATGAAGTGGCGGTGGAGGCGGGTGAACCGCTGCCACAGGGTGCTGCGCCCCTGAGCCTGGCTCACCCGGAGCAGGGCCTGCCCAGCGCACAGGCCATCGACTTAGCCTACAGTAGCTACCACGTGAAGCAGTTCCTTGAGGCACTCCTGCGCAGCGGCGCTGCCCCGAGCAGCGACGAGGCAGACCACCACTTTTCTCAGAGTTTGGAAGCTAGGCCAGATGGAGCAGCCGTAGCCACGAGTTCCGTGATGGATGTCCACACTGACTGGTATGGAGAGGACACAGGTGAGCTCGGCTAGTAGCATCAGCAGTCATCATCTCTGCTGGTCATTTAACACACACCATCTGTGCCCTGTATTCTGTGATCATCCTCACCACCACCCGAACATCATCACTGTCATCCTCACCACATCTTCACCATCACCACATCCACCACCTCTA